TTCTAAATGGAACATGGTAATGTTCAGTCTTGTAGATATCTGGGACAGTGTAAAAATGCAAGGAGAGCCAAAGCCCAGCTTTGTCATCTGAGAGGAGTGAAGAGAATGTATTTGTGTTCTGTTGTTTTCCTAGGGTACAAACCCTCCCCAAAGTTCTCTTCTATTTGTTTTCAGATACTACTATAAAACAGGAATCCTGGAGCGGGTTGACCGAAGGTTAGTGTATAAATTTGGAAAAAATGCACATGGTTGGCAAGAAGACAAGCTGTGATCTGTTCTGGGCACCGAGAGCATTTTATGGATTATTGTCTTTTCATAAATTGGAATGCAATCGACATTGGAAAGTCTTTATAAAAAAAAAAAAAAGCCTGCAAATGTGCTGATAAAATTTCTCCACATCTCATCTCAGCATACATTTCGATTCAGTCATCTACTTGGGGAGATTTTAGGAACTCATGAAATCTTCTTCACTCCAAAGGGAGGAAGGGGTGGTCTCTTATGGTAACTTGATTATTTTTCCCTAATGAAGTGTTCAGAGCCACAGTAGCTACTATCTGGTGCTGTCCAAAGGATAGGATCTAATTCTCATTAGAGGCATATCCAGTCCTCTGATTTCCAAGGTTCAAAGGTTTTCAGGTATTAACTGAGGCAGCTCATACAAGAAAAACAGAAATCATGATTAGTTTGTAGTTTATAGTAAAAGAGGGTAAGATGTAAGATATGTGTGCTTTAGATTTTTAAATCATCACAGTTAAATTCCATAGAAGAGTTTCTTAATAAGAGCTAAGCCATTAAGTTGGGATCAAATTGAATTTAGCCTAGGTTAATATTAAGTTTCTTAACCAGAATGTCTTTTGGACCACTTAGCAAAACTCCTATTGCTTCTCAAGTTCCACTCTTACAATTAGTCCCATTATGAATTATTACTGATATTTCCCTCCCCTATTCCTCCTAACTGGTGGCTGGCATTGAACATGCAAAGAGCTGGTCAACAGACACTTGCCTCAATTTCCAAATCACTTCTGTTTCTTTGATTCAAGCCATCAAAACTATAAAAATCAGAACCCATTGATTCTGTCTGGGGTCAAGATGTTAAATCTTTCTAAAGCTGGAAATGCCGCAACACCTTGTGATGGCCAATTAAATGTGAGTCTCTTGTTTTGTCTTTTTGCCTGGTATATACTCAAGCTCAAAAACCTATTTCCTTTAACAAAATGGCAACAGTGAATTATACCAATAAATATTCACAAGTTAGAGTCTGCACTGATACTTTCTCATCGGTTGCTGGTATGTTACAACCTGATGGACTGGCCCTGGAACTTGGACTTCACTGAGCGACAATCCCAAGCTGCAGACCTCCATGCTTAGAGTTTAACTTCTAAAGTGACTTGTTTTAAAAAAAAATGTGAATTACTGTAAAATAATCTATTTTTGGATTCATGTGTTTTCCAGGTGGATATAGTTTGTAAAACAATGTGAATAAAATATTTAACATATACATGTGTCTCTGTGTTGTTCCACTCAGAGTGGCAGGCTCAGCTAAGTATTATCAGCCTTTGATAACTCATTTCCTAGAAAGTGGGAAACGGAAGTTTTTTCCCGAACCTCAGATCATGTAAGAAATACATGGAACTGTCTTATCCACCACTTTTGATATCATAAAACAGGGTTTCCATTATCAAATGGAGCCCAGGGGCTGGCATGTGTTTCTGTTAGATGCACATAGCAGGTGTTTATTTATTTGCCTGTTGTTTTGAGGTTGTGTTTTATTTCTTACTTGGGAGTTAAATTTTACTATTTAGACATCAGGTTTACATTTTTTTTAACATATCTGGGGACTTGTGATCCATGCTTATAATCCTAACTACTCAGAAGGCTGAGATGTGAAGATTGCAGTCTGAAGCCAACCTGGGCAGACAAATCCAAGACTCATATTTCCAGTTAACTAACAAAAAGTTCGAAGTGGAGCTGTGGCTCAAGTGGTTGAATGCTAACCTTGAGTGAAAAAGCTAAGGGGCAGTGCCTAGGCTATAAGTTCATGCTCTAATACTAGAGAGAGGGGGGAAAAGTATTTTCTCAGCACTGGAGGCTAGAGGTCTGAAGTCAAAGTATTGCCAGAGCCCCACTTCCACCTGAGGCTCTGAGAAAGTACCTTTGCTTCTTCCAGCCTTTGGAACCAGGTGTTCCTTGGCCTGTGGCTGCAAAAGGCCAATCTCGGCAGCCATCATCACAGCTTGCTCTTCCTTCTCCCATTCGATCTCTTAAGACACTTCTTTCTGCACCTGGAGGAACAGGGCGATCTTATCTTGAGCTGCAAAATTCTCCCAAAAAGATTACATTCTCAAATTTCAGGATTTGAGACACGGGAGTAGGGACTATCATACGTCAGTCTGCCCTCCACACTCTTTAAAGCAGTTAAGCATATAGCTCTATAATACAGTTCATGAAAGGACTGAAATACAAGGGCTTATTCAAACTGTTACATTTTAGGAAATAATACTGAACCAAAATAACAAAAAGTAAAAACAACAGACATATGCAAATCTCACTGATCTAAAAGTTAAATAAGACAAGTTAAATACTTCTCTGTAATAAGTATTTGCAATACACTTTCCCTAGCAAACTTACTATGTCTTCATAGGTCATTGTTCTGAGTTTTTCATAACTTCAGAGATTTAGAGAACCTTCTGAATTCACTCACATTAACCTTTCACATCTTTCAAAGCTCTAAAAGGGGTTTAAAAGCCTTCAATTGTTTTATCAAAGAGTTTAAGGTAGAATTTGGCCTTTTGCCCTGTAGACAAGCCAGGAACCAAGAAGTGAAGAAATGGCCCAAGCAGTCTTTTGAGGCTTTTCTCCCAGAATGTTCTAACAAGTCCCTAAAAGTTCATTTCTTCTGACACATTACAAAGCAGCAATGCTCTTTGTCACAGAAAGAAGAGATAAATGTGTCTATTTTTTGCTCGCTTTTCAATGTCAAGCATTAACCCAATGCCTCACACTTACTAGACTAGTACTCTATTATTAAGCTACATGCTCAACCCCAAAGTAAACCATTTTAACCAAAATCCTGACCTTTACTCTGAAACTAGTCAGGTGATATTTTGCAGTGTTTCTCAAAGCCCATATGGTGTGCACCTTTTAGAAGAACAAGTTATAAGTGTGTGTGGGGGGGGGGGGGGGGGGAGTTGTTTGTTTCTTTTTTTTTTTTTCCTTTTTTTGTCGGTCATGGAGCCTGAATTCTGGGCCTGGGTGCTGTCCCTCAGCTCCTCAGCTCAAGGCTAGCACTCTACCACTTTAACCACAGCACCACATCCAGCTTTTTCTGCTTATGTGGTGCTAAGGAATCAAACTCAGGGCCTCATGCATGCAAGGCAAGCACTCTACCACTGAGCTACCTTCCCAACCTAAGTATAGATTTTTAAACATCAGAAGTATAGCTGGATCCTAGTATCTCATGCCTATAATCAGGAGGCTAAGATTTGTGGATCCTGATTTGAAGCCAGCCTGGTCACACAAATCTTACAGATTCTCACCTCCAATTAACCACCACCACCACCACCACCAACAACAACAACAACAACAAAAAAAACAGAAATGGAGGTGTGGCTCAAGTGATAGAGTGCAATCCTTGAGGAAAAAAATCAAATGAGATTGTGAAGCACTGAGTTCAAGTCCCAGTACCAAAAAAAAGTCAATTTTTAGAATGATATGCTATTCATTCACAATTGGGAATTCACTATTGAGCACAAGTACATAAATTTAATTCCTATGTCTGCAAACAGAAGAGTCACAACGTCCTGAAATGCAGGAAGAATTTAGGTAGGATAGTTTGACAGGAGAGTCAAGAAGTTGGCAGTAAAAAAGTAAGAATTTTTATCTATCTGCTAGTGGCCTAGTAGTTTTGTAAAGGTCACATCTCAGGAAGTTGAGAGTTAGCACAAATCATGTTTATCTTTATTGTTCTGTAGTACTGGGCCTTGTGTATGCTAGGCAAATGCCCTACCACTGAACTACATCCCCAGCCACTGATTAGTTGGGGTTTATTTTTGTTGTTGTTTTGAGACAGAGTCTCACTATGTTATTCAAGCTGGTCTTGAACTTGCTATGTAATCCAGGCTGGCCTCAAATTTGAGAACCTCATGCCTCTGCCTCCCAAGTGCTGGGATTATGAGTGAATTCAAACTAATTTTGGAAATGAAGGTAGGAAGAGGATTTGCAACCAAAAGGTGTTTTCATTTAGAGTTCAGAATTCACCCTTAAAGTCTTCCATGTGATTTTCAAGAACAAGAGGCAAATAGGATTTTTTTTTTTAAATAAGAAAGTAACTGGGCCTGGTGCCAGTGGCTCACATCTGTAATCCTAGCTACTCAGAAGGCTGAGATCTGAGGATCGAGACTCAATGCCAGCCTTAGCAGGAAAGTCCTTGAGACTCTTATCTCTAATTAACCACCAGGAAACTGGCATAGCACTGTGGCTCAAGTGGTAGAGCACTCGCCTTGAGCTGAAGAGCTCAGGGACAGCACCCAGGCCCAGAACTCCAGCCACATGACCTAAAAAACAAAAGGAGGAGGAAGAAGAAGAGCAGGAAGAAGGAGGAGGAGGGGAAGAAGAAGAAAAGGAGGAAGAGGAGCAGGAGGAAGAGGAGGAAGTGGAAGAAGAAGAGGAAGAAGAGGAAGAGTAGGAGGAGGGGAAGAAGAAAAGGAGGAAGAGGAGGAGGGGGAGGAGAACAAGGAGGAGGAGGAGGAGGAGAAAGTAACTGGGGTTATGAAGGGTTATTTTTAAACTCTCAAGAAGTAATTTAGCTTACAGATAAGAGATATAAGTGGTGTACAAAGTTAGGACATGTGCTATTTCCTAAGTGTTCCAGAAGGCTGTTTGGAAGACTACTTAACACAGTAACTGGTTACATCAGCCCTTTCATATTTAAGGGTAAACAACTAACACAGACAATCACATTCCAAAGTATATATGAAGCCAAAAGAAATCAAACACCATTCTTCTCTTCTTACATACAGATTATTTTATTGTAAAAATGTAAGCAATCATATCCAGAAGGATGCTGTGTTAGCATAAATGCAAGTTCAAGTGAGAAAAAAAATCTGATCATTACAAATAGGAATAAACATCAAACTATCATGGTCTAAGTTTGTTTTCTTTTCCTGCAGACACTGACAGATACATTGTCTTTTTCCTATAAGGACCTTAGAAAAATAAAAATTTTTGAATGGATCATTTTTATCTTTTCTCAGATAATTATCGTCATTTTTATATAATAGGCCATGAGGTGATAGGCAGACTTACTGATTTCACCAAGTTTTTTTTAATCAAACAAAATCATATCTCTGACTAGAAACTTTCCTACTAGTCATTTTAAATGAATAATCCAACCAACTTCCATGTGCAACTAGTTAAATGATCTGTAAGCCCTAACCTTTAATTTCCCCTAGGGAAACAGCATTAAAAGTATTGCTAGAGAAATCTGGATTTTCATTTTAAAGACATTAGCTTTCAGGTGTGCATCTTAGCACTGAAGAACCTTCCAACCAGTGGTGATCAGATGACAGGTGAAAGTTGTGCTTTTCCCAGGCGAGGCTCTGCCAGGAGGAGGCCCAGAGCTCACAGGTTAGATTTCTCCTTTGCAGCCAAGTGAGACCCCACCTGTGTATAGGTGTGAATGGCGTTCTGTGTAAAGATAAAACAGAAAACAAAAAATAAACAAGCTAGCAGCAGGTCAATGAACTCATGGGCAGTAACTTATGATTGATCTTCACTTTAATTTGAACACAAATAAAAATAAGAATTCAAAATTCATTCACTATAAGCAGTTTTACATTGTCCAGAGCAAAAATTTTGTAAAGATGTTCTTCATATCTCAAATGAATTTCTCAATGGCTGTTTAAAAAAAAAAATCTATTAGGGCCTGGGAAGGTGGCTCAGTGGTAGAGCGCTTGCCTTGCATGCATGAGGCCCTGGGTTCGATTCCTCAGCACCACATAAGCAAAAAGAAAAAAGCTGGAAAGTGGCACTGTAGCTCAAGTGGAAGAGCATTAGCCTTGAGCTGAAGAGCTCAAGAGGGACAGTGCCCAGGCCCAGAGTTCAGGCCCCATGACCAGACACCCCCCCCCAAAAAAAAATCTATTAGGCTGGCATCAGTAGCTCACACTTATGATCCTGACTACTCAAAAGGCTCATATCTAAGGATCTCTATTTGAAGCCAGACCAGGCAGGAAAATCCCTGTGACTCTTGTCTCCAGTTAACCACCGAAAAGCTAGAAATGGAAATGTGGCTCAAGTGGTAGAGTACCATCCTTGAGTGAAAAAAGCTAAGGGATAGTACCGGGGCCCTGAATTCAAACCCCAGTGAAGGAAGGAAAAAGAAGGGAAGGGGCAGGGAGGGGAAGGGAAGGGAAGGGAGGGGAAGAGGGGAAGGGAAAAGTTATGTGTTATATGGAATGATCCCTGAAGAGAACAATGCTAAAGGGAAACCAAAGTACATCTTTTCCATCTACACATCCCCTGCCACAGCTGAGCCGGGCTGGGCTCACCTTAGACTTCTCAGTATTGTACTTGTCCAAAAGAACCTGGATTCGGGCCCCATAGTCAGGGTGGACATCAGTGAAGTTCTTCACCTGGAACATTAGAAGCACAAAGTAAGTGTGGCCTAGCCCCTATGAACTCCCAGTGTCTCTGTCCCTGTGTTTCCTCCATAGGAGGCTGTCCCACTTGGTATTTATCAAGCACATTTTGAAGAAAGCCTTGGGGATCTGGAGATAAAAATCTACCATGAGTGGCTGAGCGACCTTGGGTAAGTCACTTAACTTACCTGAGCTATAGTGTCTCTCCCCCTAAGTGAGCAAAACAATGTGCCTATGTGTCTATCATATAAGAGAGTAAATATTTGGTCTTTGTCCTAGGAGGCCCTCAAAACTTCCTGTCTTCTTGTGCTACTGAGATGACTCATGGAGGACCTAGAGCTGGTGCCAAAAAGAGCAAGCGTGTGTCTAAAATGTTGGAACCTCCAGTCTCACTGGTGGATTTCCAGGGAAGACAGAGGAACTGGAGACTGGGTTGAATCAGCTATGGCCAATGATATGATCAGCCACCCTATGTGGTGAGACCTCCATAAGACCCCATACCACAAGGATCAGGACACTTCTTGGTGTGAGAAGCCCTTCCTACTCACCTCTCTTCTATTCTGTTCGTTCAACTCATTCCATTCCATTGATTCAACTAATTTCCTGAGTTGTATTCTTTATAACAAATGGGCGATCCCAAATAAAGTGACTTCCATGAGTCATTCTAATCCACTATGAAATCTGGGGAGTACAAGGATTCCTGAATCTGAGTCCGCACTTGGGTAGCTGGAATATCTCATTTGTCATCTAAAGTGGGAGCAATCTTATAAAGTTGCTGAATCCTCTATCTGGGGGTTCTGACACTAATTCCAGGGATTACTGTCAGAGCTGAATGAACTGCATAACACCCAGTTATTGTCAGAGAATCAGAGAATTGCTTGTTGGGGAAGGAAGGGGCCAAATGCAACACTCACAATCAACTTCATAGAATATTAATGAGAAAAGCACAGGTGGGAGGAGTTGCAGTTACTTGTGAAGAGCTGACACTGGTAGTGCTGGGCCACACCACTGATGTCAGGCTGGAATCCCTGACATTGGCTGAGGCCCAGCAGCAGGAGATGGCATCACCAGCCTACAGGAAGCCCATGCAAGAGAACACTTCCAAGGCCCTGAGCCCAGTTTTGCCACTTACAAGCTGTTTTAACCATTCTTCTAGTTACAACCTACTCTGCATATGTCACTGAGCACCATCAGGCTATCCGCACACCCTTCACTCATGCCCTTGAACAGAAAAGTTACAACAAGGCACCAGGATATAAAAGGATTCCTAACTTTACCAAATGTGTATGCCTATTGCATGCCAGAAAACCAGAATCAAAGGGTTTCGCATAGCTCAGTGAGAGGCCATCAGAATCACCCTAGGCCTCTATGGAAAATGTTCATCTCACCTTGTTAGAGCAGCTCAGTTCAGTTCTCCCCCACCCTCCTGCCCCCAGAAAATAGGCAAAGTTGTGTCTGAATGAGGGTCAAGGTGTCATAATATTAAGACTGTAGGCAGTCTTCAAGTCACAAATTTCCAATTACTATTTTTTATCATCGAAACCTTAAGCACAACTGTAGCAGAGCCATATTTTGATATCACACACTTATGATCTTGCACAGAAATGGAATTAGATAACACAGGAGAGAATCTACCCTGAACCCAACTAAATTATTACACACTGGAAAATGGTTAAGATCAGCAAATATACTATACCAGACAAAACATGAAGAGAAATCAATCAGAAGCTGAGCAGAGATTCTTAGAAGGAGGGGAATAGAGGAGAAGGAAGGGGTAGGGAGGGGAAGGGAGATTCTTTTAGCTCAAGTAAAATAGCAATGACAACTCACTTTGTAAGTTTTCTCCCTTGCAAGATAGTTCTGCATTATTTTCTTGTGCCAGCAGGTGTCACCCTTCAGTACACCAAGACCAACTCACCGCTTTCTTCTGGATGAAAAGTTGTGCATCTTTCAGATGACCAGCAATGTTCTCACACAGGCGCTTCCTCTCCTCCTCACTTAGCACTTTCGTATAGAAATCCCTCACCTGCTCAGCAATAGGAGAGGGTGAAGAATCAAATAACCCATTTATCACAAGCAGAACTGACCCCGAATGTTACTTTTGAAATGTATGAGTCATCATTTTTTTAATTGAAGAATTTAAACTCACATATGTTGAGTGCTTCACTTTTTGTCTTGCATTCACTTTTGGAAATAGCTGCTAACTGCTTTCAAATAATATTCTTTGCAGTCAGTGTTTATAAATTTCTTATAAGCAGAATTAAATACCTTACTACATTCTTAATACTGACAAGTCCAGAATGAGCAAACTCCTTTCAATGTAAATTTAGCATAATCCAACCTTTGATGAATTCACCCAGAAATAGGGAATTTTAATTAATTCATTTAAATTAATTTCGATCTTTAATTATTCAGAAGCCAAGATTTGTTAAACAAGACTGATATTAATAGTGATAAACTGCTTAGATTATTGGGATTACCTCCAAAATGCATGCCAATAACAATAGATAGGAGCTTACTGCCAGGTATATGAGGGCTAGTAGCCTCTGCTAAATTCAGAAACCTAAGTTGTAGAAATGATTTTACTCGAACATTTCATTGATTCATTTCAAAAATGTTTACGGAGGGGCTGGGAAGGTGGCTCAGCGGTAGAGCGCTTGCATGCATGAGACCCTGGGTTCGATTCCTCAGCACCACATAAGCAGAAAAAAAAAGCCAGAAGTGGTGCTGTGGCTCAAGTGGTAGAGTGTTAGCCTTTAGCTGAAGAGCTGAGGGACAGCGCCCAGGCCCAGAGTTCAGGCCCCATGACCGGACCCAAAAAAAAAAATGTTTACAGAGTCAACTACCTATAATATATCAAGTTCTCTTCTACATACTATTCTATTAATGTATTTATAAGGTCCAATAATATCTTGTTATCCCATGATAAATCCACAAAGTATTGCAATAAGCATCACTTTTCTAAGTTATCAGGGTGCAGTTACATTTTTTTAAATTTGCAGCAAAGTTTAAATCTGACAGCAAAGTTTTAAAAATCAGACTCTGAATAGTATTTGAAAACTTCCTCACATCTAGCTCCAACTCACTAGCTGTCTCTTCAGCTATACTTAACATTAAGCAACCATTGTTGAATTTTCATCCAAGACTACATTTTTTTCTTTCTAGATTTGGTTGTGTTCCAAATCTACCTTATTTTTTCCTCTCATATTCTATTTTTGTCTTATACATAATACTCATTTTTGTCCTCCTTCAAATTGTACCCATGCTTATTTCAGATAATCACATGTATAATGCATCTCTCTATCTATGACATGTCTCAGAGCATTGGATTTGCTTGTACATATTGCAATGTGTCCCTGTGATATGTCTTCAAAGGAATTTTCTTACATAGGACACAAGATGTGCCCTATTTGAAATAACATCTTCATGTGGTGATTATCTCATCATCTCTACCAAGGCCTAGGAAGGTCCACTGCTTCATGTGTACCTTGGATCAGGACCTTTTGGGTGGAAGAAGAGTGCAGATTCTCAGCACTGATGGCTTCCATCACACTGGATTCAAAGCTGAATTCTCATACTAGTCTCTGCATTGGGGTGGCCTTTCCTGGCCCTCATCACTTTGTCAAGGGATGGGTGGCATATGCATATAATCCTAGCTACTCAAGAGACTGAGATCTGAAGTTCAAGATTTGAAGCCAGCTAGGGCAAGAAAGTCTGAGACTCTTATCTCCAACTAACCAGTAAAAGGCCGAAAGTAGAGCTGTGGCTCAAGTGATAGAACATGAGTGTTGAGCAAAAGAGGTAAGAGACAACACTGAGACCCTGAGTTCCAACAGGGAGAGAAAGAAATAGAGAGACAAACAGAGAGACAGACAGAGAGATAGAGAGACAGAGAGACAGAGAGACAGAGAGTCCAGTGCTATAACACATGGATCCAAAGATTTAACTCTTAAACCTCCTGAGGCATTAAATCACCCGATGGGGCAAACAGTTCTCTTCATCCCCAGTGGAAACTGTGACTCCATTTTCTTTCTGGAACTTGGAGGTAATGTAACTTTTATCTGCACTGCATCATCTTTTTCAAAATATTTTTTTGTTAGTAGTGGGGCTCTAACTCAGGGTCTAGGCACTGTCCCTGAGCTCTTCTGCTCAAGGCCAGTACTCTATCACTTTGAGCCACAGCACCACTTCTTTTTCAAAATATTTAATCAAGTATATTGATGTAGGGAATAAAAAAAAAGTATCTGTGTCACCTGTCTTCCATTCTGGACTAAAAGGGATTTTTTTTTTTAAATATCTCCAGTGTTGCACTATGACCGGCTTGTCATGAGAACCAGCTACCAATTCCCAGGAACTTTCTTTTCCTGTGGTGCTGGGAATTGAACCCAGGGCTTGTGTATGCTAGGTGCACACTCTACCTCTGAACTACGTCCTCAGCTCTTGTGAACAAATTATTAAATGTGGTCTTTATAACAATTAAAGTCATAAGCTTTCAATGAAATAGCAGTACAAAGAGACACAGTTAAGTACTCAAAACATGATTCCTCAGTAGACACAACCCTGATTCAACCACTCAATCAACAGGTAACAGCACTCTCACCTCAGAAGTTCCCCTTACCAGGGCCCCTCCCAGTCACTGTGTACACTCTTCTCAGAGAAAATGTTTTAGACCTCAATACCATAAATATATTTTGGTTATCATTAGGTCTATAATTTTTCTGTCTGGCCTTTTTTATTGCTATCGTGTTTGTAAGATTCATCCATAAAATAGCTTTATTGCAGCTGGGTGCTGGTGGCTCACGCCTATAATCCTAGCTACTCAGGAGACTGAGATCTGAGGATCATGGTTCAAAGCCAGCCCGGGCTGGCTTTACATATGAAATAGGTAAATTTACATATGAAATAGTTTGCTTGTAATCTTAGGTTCTCTTTTCTACCAAAGACAATTTGTGTTTGCTTCTGGCAGGTAGTTAGCATGGAGAGAGATCACTTATGAAATTATGACATTTTGTTGTTGTTTCCTCCACACCCTGCTTAAAACACCCCCCTCAAGACAGACCGCAGAAACTAGAATTCCTCTTCCTTGACACAGGTCACAGGAACCCTACTCTTTATCACCTTTTCTGTCTTCCAGCCTGTCATAAAGAAATTCTGGGTTCTCTCCTTGTGGGAGAGTAGATGGTAATACCCTCCTCATTCCATAGGGGTCCTGCCCACACCCTGGAGGGTGGGACGCCCCACAGACAGGCTCACTAGCAAGAATTCTGGACAGATAGGCTGGACTTGGTTTCTCCAAGCCTGTTTGCATTGCCTATACAATAAAGTCTTAATATTTTTTTAAAAAAAACCAAAGGAAGGTTTACAGATCTTTCAGATAGCCAAACACAGGAAGATTCCTGAAGTATGGCACTCCCAGAGAAGGCCTAGGAACTCTGCTCCCCTTCTTCCAAACCTTGTCCTATGCAAGGATTCACTTGTATCCTTTGTACACTGTGAGCATGATGCCCTGACTTCTGTCAGCCGCTCAAGTAAATTAACCAAACAAGCCTGAGGAAGGGGTTATGGATACCCCAATTTGTAATCCATCCGATAGAAGCAAGGATTCCACTGGAACATGGGCATTAACTAGAGGCCGCCTCTTTGGCACACTCTGCACTCCAAGTTTGTCCTTCCAGCTCATGAAATGGCTAGAAACTCTGCTCAGCTTCTTGAAAAGTGCTTGCCTAATAATAAATGAGTCTGACAGCGTAACCAGTGTCAGGCTTGCCTTGCCGTATGTGTGTGTGTGTGTCTGTGTGTCTGTGTGTCTGTGTGTGTGTGTATAATTTCTTTTTTGAATCCCTTTGGTCTCTTAAATCCATACTTCGTTAGTTCTCCAAAGACTTCAACAACCAAATGTTTCCTGTGTTTTATCTCGATTTCCAGTGTTCTCCACTACAGGACAGGTGTGTATCGAGCAAGTCTTCCACAGACAGATGTGCAAGTCCAGGTAAATCATCACTAAGGAAATAAATCTGAGCCTTCTTATGTATTTTGCATTGGCTCTTATAATACACAATTATGCTGTGAACCCACAACAGGCTCATGACGAGGACTCCTATGTGGGGATTAAAAAAAAAAAACTTGACAAAATAAGGATCCTACAGTAACTTTTAATGTGGAAGTATACCCTCATGTTATAGGAGTTACATGAACTGATTTAGTACCTAACTTGACCTCACAACAAAATTCTTTGGTAGACAAGGAGACTGCTTTAATTCATAGTGCCACCTGCATCACTACAACCAAGGCAGTTATTATAAACAGCCTGTAGAATCTATTTTAACTTCATCTAATTATGGCTAATATCCTACAATAAAATACCATACATGAACACACACACACACTCATACACATACACACAAAATTTTTCCAAAGATACCATCATGGTAAATTAATTCATGTATTCAAGTATAGTTACATGGAATCCACACTTGTAACTTGAGACACTAGAAGTAGGTTGTAATCTACCATAAATACTAAATTCAGCATAGACTACCACACAGAACCTGCAGAGGTGAGGAAGCCTTTTTCTTCAAAGGCCACTGGTATATGATGTAACTGGTATGGATGCTTATCCTGCTATGAAAAAAGCACCCACCTGTAGTTGTCTTGGCTGAGCCAGATCCTATAATTGCTTGGGATTTACATGATTTGAAAGCCAAACCCTCCTCATCCTTGTGTGTGACTACACTTTTAACTTGGTTCTGCTATTGCAGGTGGTATACGTTACACAGGACATATCAATGCTCGTGGTGCCTGCAAAATGGACGAGCACTTGACCTGGGTTAACTGTAGGTGGACCAAAGTCCCAGCCTGCAACCTGCAAGGATCAGCCAGTTCACATCTGAGACAGAAAAACGAAGAGAAGAGTGAAAGGCAACTAAAACAGGAAAGGGTAATAATAAGCCATAAAGGAGAGTTAGGCCATGGGCATGGCCTGAGAGAAGGCAGGCAGAGGGAAGAACAATGAGGAGCCTCCTTGGGAATGATGGATTAGCATTGGGAAGTAGAATCAACAGATGGAATGCAGCTGGGTCACCTGCAGCAAGAGCTAAGAGGTAGGACCACGCACACTCTTGCTGCTGAGGAGCCTACACTTATGTTGTTTTCTTTCGTTTTGGATTTTTACAATGCAGCAATTGAACCTAAGACCTACATGCCAGGCAAGCAATCTACTGTTGAGCTACATCCCCAATCAGGGCTACTTTGCCCAGATGCTTAGATGTGCCTGTAAGGATGGAGAACTTCCCAGTTTCTCAGATCAAATTCCCCAACAACCCCTACAGTATCCATTCAATAAAAGTCAGAGGAACTCAGAGGAATCTCCACATTCTTTTTTCTTTTTGCCAATCCTGGGGTTTGAATTCAGGGTCTGGGCACTGTCCCTTAGGTTTTTCACTCAAGGCTGATGATGCCCTACCACTTGAGCCACAGCTACACTTCCAATTTTTGTTTGTTTGGTTGAGGTTTAGGGGGCAGGTGTTATTGACTGGAGTTAAGAGTATCCTAGACTTTGCTGCCTGAACTGGCTTTGAATCTCCATCTTCAGATCTCAAGCTCTTGAGTAGCTAGGATATAGGCCTGAGCCGCAGGCAACTAAAAGCTCCACATCTTGAAAGGAAAGGATAGGATGACACAATTCTTTGACTTCATCCAATAAAGGGCCTGATTTACTCATGGAGGTAGGTCTTTTCAAAGACACTTAAAAGGAAGGGAAGAGGAGAACAAGAACTGACAAAAGGAATTATCCAGCAACCTCCACCACAGTCCAGGAAGCCATTACCTGAGTGACATTATCTTCATTGGCACTGTTGAAGCGCTTCACGTCCATAGAGCACTGGGTGTTGTGCTCCAGAGCTGAGCCCTGCTCCTGAGGAGCACTGAAGCTGTTGGGGTAGTAGTTTGGAGCACCACCTTCAAAGAAAACCACAGAGTCACTTAGGAAGACAAGAGAAGCAAATTATCAATGTGGAGAGAAGCAAATTCAAAGGATACACAGGTAGGTAGCAATACACATGCCACACACTGGCACATTTTCACTTTCTAGGTTTAGATACAGTAATGGAAAAGTCTCAGCTCAGGCTGCCATCTTTAAATGCTCCCATGGGCTGTGTCACTCTGCGGCTGCATGAGGCCCTCTCAAAGGCTTCTCAACATGTCCCAGGTCACCAAGTCACTTGATGCCACTGAACAGGGTGAAGAGGGTTCGTTGTTTGTGTGTGCTGGTAATGAGGCTTGAACTTGGGGGCTGAGCTATTTTGCTCAAGACTGGCACTCTAACTAACACTTGAGACACCCCTCTACTTGCAGATTTTGCTGGTTAATCAGAGATAAGAGTTTCTCATATTTGTCTGCCTAAACTGGCTTCAAGCTTCAATCCTCAGATCTCAGCCTCCTGAGTAGCTAGGATTACAGGTGTGAGCCATCAGCTGTCAAGACAGTTTTAAAAGGTTTCTTCTTCATTTGTCTGTTCTGAATGAAGAGAGGGAGGGGAAGGGAGAATTCAGTCATAGTATTCAATACGAAGTTAAGAAAAATGAGGGGAAGGGCTAAATTGGGAGAGATAGAGGAGAATGATGAGAGAGGTAACATGGATCAAGATTCATTATATTCATAAAGTGATCCATTGAATGGTAACTCCTTCACACAACTACTTAAGATAATAATTTTTAGAAAGGTTTGATCTTCTGGCATTGAGATCAGATCCAACCACATACTTCATCTGAGAGTTTCATTTCAATGGGTTCCATTCAAACACTGAGTTTCAGAACTGTTGGGGGCAACTGAGGCGTTTGGGCCTCATCCTTCCATTACAGAACAAATCTCAAGACAGCCGCCAGCTCTCCCAGAAATAGCACTGGTATGAGACAGAAACTCGGCTGTCTGTCTTCATCCAAGGCTCGTTACATGTTCCTAAGATTCCAGGTATCTGACTTCACTGTAATGACACAACTCTAGTAAATTCTAACTTCACATTCTTCTACAAACTGGTAAAAGGGAGTGTTTTTTTTTAATATATTTTATTTGTAATATGTCAGCACTCATTTATCTAGACTTATAGAAGTGGTGACAGATATAACCCAAGTATTTTTATGACTTCTGGAATAAATTATGAGGCTTTCTCTTTAGTTTACAAACTATACTCCACTTTGGCCCCTACAAGTGTGGCCACGAAATAGAGTGGTTTGTATGCAACCTGGCTCCCTGCAGAACAGAGTGCCCACATTGGACAATCAGGAGATGCTATCCAGCACACTAGCAAGTGGGGTTGTAGGGGGAAGACCCCAGACCACTGTGGAACACTGTGATTAGCTCAAGAAATTTGTCTTGGGTCAATCACGTCTACATAAAAAGTGTTTTCTACACTAAGAATTTGCTCTTTGGCATGTAGCTATTTGAGTAATTTAAAAATTGTATTTCCAAATAAGCTGACCTTTACTCATGGTGGGAGCTGTCTTCAAGGCACTGACTACTAGGAACAATCATACTCATTCATTGAGCTGCAGGAACACAGACCAAAGGCTCTACTTCCAATACTAGGTAGAGTATGTCAAAAGCATCCTTAACTAGACTATTCTTAAGTATGTCACTGTAACAGTAAACACAAGGTAATTACTTATTAAGGAAGCTCAAAATAGACAAGAATCTCAATAACAAAAGAATCAAGGAATATAAATAAAAATAAGAAATGGCAGAAAACAGACTCAGTAATATCAACTACTTTAGGCGGTAATACAACACAATAAAATATACAATAACAATTCAAGTCTTTATAAATCTAAAAGTTCAGAAACACTGCAACCACCTAATACAATGAGTTTAGAAATCACATAAATCAGGTACCAGTAGCTCATGCCTGTAATCCTAAATATCCAGGAGGCTGAGATCTGAAGATATTGGTTCAAAGTAGCCTGGGCAGGAACATCCATGAGTTTTATCTCCATTTAGCCAACAGAAAGCTGGAAGTGGAGCTGTGCCTCAAGTGAAAGCCAGCATTGAGTGAAAAAGCTCAAGCCCCAGTACCAACACAGAAAAAGGAAGAAGGAAGGAAGGAAGGAAGGAAGGAAGGAAGGAAGGAAGGAAGGAAGGAAGGAAGGAAGGAAGGAAGGAAGGAAGGAAGGAAGGAAGGAAGGAAGGAAGAAAGGGAGGGAGGGAGGGAGGGAGGGAGGAAGGGAGGGAGGGAGGGAGGGAGGAAGGGAGGGAGGGAGGGAGGGAAAGAAAGGGAAAGAAGCCACATAAACTTGTTAAATATATTAAAAGGCTTAGCAGTTATGGTAACAAGAGCAATGCACAAAAGTATGTAGCCAAAATTGTAGTAAAAAATATAAAAATATTCACAGAAAAGAATGGCAAGAAATAGAACAAAATGTAAGTTGTGTCTTTGGGTATTAGGCCTGAGGAGTTCCTTCTCTCTTCTCATCTATTTTCCAGATTCCATTTAGGGCATAACTATTATTTTTACCATAGAAAAATATACTTTGGAATTATAACCCCTCTGTACAACTTCTTAATAACAACAAAGTTATATTTTTTAAAAAGATAAATAAATTTTGTTTTAATGCAGGCATCAGTAAAAACTTCTTAAGGAATCTATACAAGTAGCCTATTAATGAAATGTGGGTCTTATCTAGGATATTAAAAAAATAAGAACCATATTAAATTGTGGAATATTAAAAAAAACATTAATCACACATTCTGCTCAGTTGCTTAGAATAAGAAATCAAATCCAGAGCTATATTTGTACAGAGTATCCAAAAAGCAACTAAAAGGAAAAAAACTTCATAAATTTGACAAATGAGTTGTAAAAGAAAATCAAAATGCAGGAGTGCCATCTCACCAGCTGATATATATAAGTAAATTAGGTTCCGCTCTAGCTCCCTTCTCCCCTCCCACCAGCTCATTCTATTCCTTCCCAATTTTAGCTCGACCTGCTTTTCCATGGCCTCAACAGCAAGCCAAAAAGAAAGAGAAGACATGAGCTCTTGGCCTTGGCCTTGCCAAGGGAATACATCCTGCTGACTGAATTGGATGCTGTGTAATTCCCAAGTTAGATCCGCGACTCCAGCTAACATGCAAGGTCTCTCTGCCTGCCTTTAACTAGGGGATGGACAGCACATGGAAGCTAAGATGGGAACTTTCTAAATAGACTACCTAAAATAGATGCAAACAAGAGGGGTTCCCAGGCAGTTGAAACCTTAACTGCTGCACCAGACATCCTTGGCTGTTCACCTGCAGCCTCAGTAGAGCACTGTCCCTATACAGGAGGCTCCACGGGGCCAGTTTGTAAACCAGTGGCTGGGTACCCCTCCCCCACCACACCCTCCATGCCCTCCACCCAATGTCTCCAGACCTACCCTGATTGTCATACATGCACATGGGGCCATCACGCTGGTAATTGGCAACTCGAGCACGGTAGGGGCAGTTCACGGGTATCTGAAGATAGTTGGGTCCCAGGCGGTGACGGTGAGTGTCAGGATAGGAAAAAAGGCGACCCTATAGTAGTAAACGCACAGGCATTGACTGTGAGTTACCCATGAAGTAGGAGGTGGCTCATCGATATTATCCTAAACTTTAAAGCACATAGTCACTACGAAACCCTGGCCAGCCTCCTTGAACAAAAACAAGGCTCTTCTCATTTATGAGTTCTTCCTAATTGAACATCTTTAATGCAGGTGAGCAATCATAAACTTCACATGTCACCACAATACCTCTTAGGCCAAAAATGACAAGGCAGTCCTATTCTAAAGGAAGTATTAAATTACAACATAGATTTGCTAGAATCTAACTGAGATGTTACATTCCATCTCTATCACAAAGACAGAAGTACCAACAAGCCGTGAACAGCTCCTGGCAGGAGTCTCTATCCTTTCCTTCCCATTTTGTGTATTTCTTGAGCAACCTACCCTGTTTATGTGTGAAGATCCACAGGTTGGGAAATGGGCACAGTGAGGCCAGTCCCAGACTCTAACTTGAAGCTAGGCATTACTCAGGCCTTGTCCCATCCCTCCTTGCTGGGCCTTAAGGACAAAGCCACCTCCTTACCATGTGAGCAAATGACCCAACTCCTCTAACTGCAGAGTATGGGAATAAGGAAAGGCCATCCCAGCACTGTCAAGTACTCCAGAGACATTCCCCTTGTGACTTGAATTATTTTTCCCATTTCGTAATGGTCTTGCTTGACACTTTGAGTAAAGTCTCAAAACATAGTAATATGACTTTGTTAGAACGTAAAAGAAAGCCAGGTGTCAGTGGCTCACGCTTGTAATCCTAACTACTCAGGAGGCAGAGATATGAGAAACACAGTTCAAAGCCAACCCAGGCAGAAAAAAAATCCCCATAAGATTCCAATTAGCCACTCAAAAACTGGAAATGGAGCTGTGGCTCAAACTGGTAGAGCACTTGCCTTGAGCAAAAGATCTCAGGGAGAGTGTTCAGGCCCTGAGTCCAAGCACCATGACCAACAACCAAAAAAAAAGTAAGTGAAAATTCTATCTACTAAGACATCAATTGCTACCGCCCAAGCAACAGGCTCATTAGCTGTTTTCAGGAGTTACTTCAGTCCTCCCCACAGGCTCCCCACATCAAATCCCACTTGAACAATGCATCCTACTGTGTGGCTATACAGAACAGCTGGCACTGATAGCTTACATCTATAACCCTAGTTACTCAGGAGGCAGAGATCTAAGGACCAGGGTTCAAAGCCAGCCCAGGCAGGGAGTACATGAGACTTGTATTTCCAAGAAACTATGAAAAAGCTGGGAGCAGAACTGTGGCCTAAGTGGTAGGGCAGTAGCTTTGAGTAAAAGAAAAAAAAAAGCTCAAGGACAGCACCTAGGCTCAGAGTTCAAGCCCCAGGATAGCACATGAAATAAATTTATAGAGAACAGTTGGGAATGGCGGCTCATGTCTGTTGAGCTCCCCACTATATAGGAGACAGAAAGTTTTGTGAGACAATATCTCAACCAATAATAATAATAATAAAAACCTTGTTTCTTTGAGGATTTGTTTTGGGGGGGTTTAACTTTTGGGTTCTAAGTTTAACTTTTGGGGCTGCGAAGAATGTATATTCTGACGCTGAATGTATAGTCTGTAGATGTCTGTTAGCTAGGTGGTCAATGTAGTTATTTAGGTCTGCAGTTTCTTGATTGAGTTTTTCCTGGATGACCTCTCCATGGATGAGAATGATGTGTTGAGATGTGTTTTTAGGTTAAGTAGTATTTGGTTGATGAAGTGGGGTGCTCCAGGATTCAGGGCATTGTTGTATCCTCCTAGTAGAGAGTTGCCTTTATCAATAAGGAATGTCTCTTCCTAGTAATTTCAATTTGAATTCTATTTTATCTTATGTTAGTAATTCTAGTGTGGCCTGTTCATGGTGTCCATTTGCTTGAAATTTTTCCTTCCAGCCTTTCAGGTTGAGTATGTGTTTGTTTTTGTCAATAAAATGTGTCTCTTGTAAAAAATAAAATAAAATAATAAAAAAAAAACCCTGCGTGCCCTTGTACCTCTTTCAATCCTAGCTATATAGGGGTAGGGGATATAAATAGGAGGATCACAGTCCAGCCTAGCCCAGGCATAAATGTAAGACCCTATTTGAAGAATAACAAAAGTAAAAAGGACTGGAAGTATGGGTCAAGTAGTAGAGCACCTGCTTGGCAAGTACAAAGCACTGAGCTCAAACTCTGCTACCACCATTAGAAAAAATTAACACCTACCAGGACACTGGTAGCTCACACCTGTAATCCTAACTACTCAGGGGAGGCTGAGATCTGAAAGCCAACCTGAGCAAGAAAGTCCATGAGACTCTTATCTCCAATGAACCACAAAAGGACAGAAATAGAGCTGTAGCTGAAGTGGTAGAGCACCATCCTTGAAGAAAAAAGCTAAGGTCAGTGTTTACACCCTGAGTTCAAGCCCTAGTACCAGCACACATACACACACTAGCTTACCCTCCATAAAGATTAAAGTCTGCCCAGGAGTCAGAACTTACATAAGCAGGAACCTTCAGTCCCTGTGGTCTGATTGAAGGCATAATCTGTAACCTCTGTTTCATGTTCATAGTCCAAAAACACAAAAGATTGATCTACATAGTAATTATTAAGCCAATTCCTTGCCTATTGATTCTAGGTCCAAAGTAGAATTTCTACTCTTTGTACTCTTGGAAGACAATATTTGAAAGTGATTTAAAACATATTGAAAGCCTAGCAACACTGGCAAGACAGATGACTAATTCACTGCAGTATAACTGTGCTTCATAAAAAAAAGTCATCTATGGATGCTGGACATGATGCAAACCTATAGCTCCAGCACTTACAAGACAAAGAAGCAAGAGAACAAAGACTATGAGGCTACCCTGGGTTGAAAAGCAAGTTCTAGACCAGCCTGATTCTCTTAAGGGGAAAATATATATTATCCATAGATCTGCTTTCATAGACAGAAAAAATGTAAGCATCTCCACAGAACAGAAAATGGATAAAGTATACTAACCAAGGTGCCATAATCACATAGCACTATTCCGTCAATTATACACTGAACAAACCATGCTTTTACCTAAGAATACCTCAGACATTTCTATTGTATTATTAAAATTTGTTAGAATCAGGAGAGTAAATATTCATGCATTCACATCTATAAGGATTTTACTGCAGAACTTGGTTTGCCACTGGTTAATTCAAGGAACAATCCATCTAAGGATGGCTCATCCAAGTGAGTCCTACAGGAACTAAGTTCCCAGGTACAAAGGAATGTTCTAGTTAATTCCTTGCATAGATTACTACACACTGTAATTGTGTGTGTGTGTGTGTGTGTGTGTGTGTGTGTGTGTGTGTGTGGTTTTAGTATCAGACCATTGCAGCCCACCACACTTACCTGCAGCATTTTGTCAGGGCTGGGCTCAATACCAGGTGGCATGTTGCTTGGGTCAAATGCTATCTGCTCCACCTCGGCAAAGTAATTAACTGGATTTCGGTTTAAGACCAGTTTGCCAACTGGGATAAGAGGGTAGTCATGGTGAGGCCAAATCTAAAAATAATGCCATAGTTACTGTTATCAGACAACTGAGGGACATTAAAGGGACCCATAAAACACCAGCTTTCAAATATAATCAGGCCAGTGCAAATAACTGTTAGCCTCCAAAACATGCTAAGAATATTAAGCAAAATCATCAGCTGAATCTTTCACAACAGTAAGTGGTAAATATTGGCACTCCCCCAGAGCAAAAATTCATCAGCTTTTCAAAATTCATTCCCTTCGGGCCAGGTGGGAGACAGAGATTAGGAGGATCATGGTTCAAAAAACCCATCCTAACCACAAGAATAAAAGCAGTGTGGTAGCATATGTCTGTCATCTCAGATGCTCCATAGAGGTGTAGGTGGAAGGATATCGAGCCAGGCTAACAAGGGCAAAAAAATGCAAGACACTTTCTGAAAAATAACTAACGCAAAGAGAGCTGGGAGTATCACTCAAGTGGTAAAGCACCTGTCTAGCAAGCATGAGATCCCAATTTCAATTCCCCAGTATCATCTTTCCAAAGAAGAAAATGAACTCTGTGCCATTAGCAATAAATAAAGCCACTGACATGATTCCAGTGAGCTTTCTGACTAGAAGCATGGGAACAAGATACTTGGAGGCCGCTCATTCAGAAGCTACCAGAAACAACCACTTATCTATGAGCGCCTCACCACTGTGGACACTTAAGTGGAATTATTTTTTAATTAGTTCAGATAAGACTTTAAGAATTAAATAATTGTGGTTCTCAGGGAAGCACTGCCCTGAGCTACTGAGTCCTGGTGATCTGGTCCCCTGCGACCCAGATTGGCTCCGCCTTAGGCATCCAGGGCTGCAAGCTGGAAGATGGTGGGGACCCAGGAGGTCTGATTAAGGTGATCCATGTACTGGTCTTGCCAGGTGCCTGGGGCATGCAAATCTGGGTGACCTTCGCCTCAGGCTTCCTGCTCTCCCGAAACCTTCCTTGACATACCTTCAGCCTTGTGCAAAGCAAGTTCTTCCCTTTCTATTTTTACATCTCCATGGGCTGTGCCTTCACCAATCTTCACATCTTGGCTCCTCAGCGTGCCTGGGTTGAGCTTACATTCTGGGAGGCCAGCCAGCTCTGCCTGCTACTCCTAAGCCTCACTTTGGCCACCATCAATGCCCGCTGGCTGGAGCCCCACATCACGACTGCCATGTGGGCCCTGCAGGCCATGGAAAAGGAGTGGGGCTTGGGCAGGGAGGTACCCGGCAGCCAGCAGGGCCCCAACCCCTACCGCCAGCTGCAAGAGAAAGACCACAAGTACAGTGCCCTCCGCCAGCAATTCTTCCACTATCATGGACTGTCTACTTTCTGCAACTTGGGCTGTCTAGTGAGCAATGGGCTGTGCCTCAGGAGCCTGCAGCATGGGCCCTGTGAGTAAATAAATGCTTCTTTGAAAATGAAAAAAACAAAAACACAAAAAAGAAGAATATAGTTGTTTCTAACTTACCTTGGTGAGATCAAATGGATTAAATGGAAAAGTTTCTGCCTGCTTAAAGGTCATGACCTGGATGTAGAAAGTCCAGGAGGGATAGTTGCCTTTAGCAATGGCATTGAAAAGATCTCGAAGGCCATAGTCAGGATCTTCCTGGGAAAGTCTTGCTGCATCTTCAACAGAGAGGTTTTTAATGCCCTGATCAGTCTACAGAATGAAAAGAAAGAAGCTCAAATTGAAACTTATTGGCCAAGTTATAAAAAACAATTTTTTTCCAGTCCTGGGGCTTGAACTCTTAACCAAAATTTATTGAAGTATTATAAGTAATACTACCCAGAGAATGAACTTGTCTTATGATAATATTTCTGTTGTTCAAACTAATAGCAATAAATTTATTAATAAGAAGTCCTACTTCCTCATCCTGATTCTTTTGAACATCAAGCAAATTCTATCTACACATTTCATGCTTAAATTAGACATCTCTTACCCTTAGTATGTTCAATATCTTAAGTTTTATAGTCTTCACTCTTTGAATCAGGAAATCAAATACTTTAAAAATAATCAAAAGATTGATAAACCTAAAGGACTTTCCTTTGCTTCATGAAGTAATTTTTAATTAAATTTAACAGACATAGAAAAACAGAAAAGTTTCTGCAAATTAATTGGGTAACGTGATAGTTGTATATATATATCCATTATATAAACAAGTTAAGCATATTTAGCTCAACATTTGTCACTTCTCTATGGTGAAATATTCAAAATCCTTTCTTCTAGCTTGAGATATCTATTATACAGTGGTAACCTACAGGTTATCACTTATACTGTACCATGAGCACACTACAACTTCTGGCTCCTTTTGTCTAACTGTAACTTATCTTTCCCATCCCTTCCTCCACTCTTCTCTCCGCAGCCTCTTATTACCAGTCTACTGCTAACTTTTGTGAGATCAATCTTCATATTCCACATAGAGAGATCGTGCAGTGTGTGTCCTTCTGTACCTGGCTTAGTTCCCTAACACAGTGGTCACTAGTTCAGCCATGTTAACATAATGATAAGACTCTTTTTTTCCTGTAGCTAAATTTTATTGTGTTGTATATGAACCACATTCTCAAACTACTCAGTAGCTGGATAGACAGTTATATCACTTCTATTCTCGGCTGTTGTAAATGTGTTTATTGTGTGTCCATTGAGTACACACGTCTCTTAAACATACTGATTTCATTTGCTTGAGATATACACTGGAATGCTGAAACTATTATTTAAATTCTGTTTCATAACTGATCAAATGAACTGCTGAAATTGTGCTCAGCTAATATCTCTCCACCCCTGTACTCTGCCTTTTGTTATGCCTTTTGTTTTTGCTTAAAAGAACTATGGCATAGGAGGAGATGGGGGAGGGATCAATAATACATTCATGGTGCTGATCAAGTCTATCTACATTATACATCCTTACCAGTGGATGTAAGAGAAAGGTGGGAAAAATCTTCATCTCTATTCAGTTCTTCAAAAAAAGTAAGGGGAAGTGGGTAGTAGGAACCTTGTGCCCTCTGCCCCATAGGCAATATATACCTTGTAATGGAATTTGCAGTAAACTGCCTCTCTATTGGCATTAACCAGCTTGAAAGTATGTGATCCATATCCATTCATGTGCCGATGCCCATCTGGAATCCCTCGGTCACTGAACAAGAAAGAAACCTAAGGAACAGAGATACAAAGCCTGAACTCCTTTCGATCTAAATCAAAACATCCTATGTTTTTAAAACATTCCTCCATTTCTAGAAAATCCCTTAAAGACCAGGAACAATATACCAGGAATTTCCCTGGGAAGAGTTACCATGATTATTGCATCTACAACAAGCAATACACAAAAGAATTTTAAAGCGTGATGAAACATAAATCATTAACATCATGACTCAAAATTCTAAGAAAGAAAGCTGAAACTAATCCGAAAAACAGCCTAACTTGTTATTCAAATTGTATTTTAGTACCCAACCAGTTTGGTACTACTTTTCCCTCATTTCCTAATATATAGCTTTACTGAGACTAGAAAGTTTAATCTTTAATATGGCTACATATTCCAGCAATGTTTCCAGGTTTCTAGTATCCTCATTTAAACCTTATGAATGAAAAACATCAGTCATTATAAAACACTTCATAATCAGAAATCTGAGGAAGTATCCCCAAAGGAAAGTCAGAAACCAATTCAAATATAACAGCCTAAACTGGAAAGCACATCATAAGGCCTACTAACAATCACATCCCAGTGGATATTTTATAATAAATTGAAAGCTGGAAGTGTTCCTCACCTGATGCAAAGACTCAGGGCGTAGGCTCCAGAAATCCCAGACCATGTCAGGATCCTTCAGGTGTGTCTGAGGATTTCTCTTCTGGCTATGAATGAAGGATGGAAACTAAATAGAGAGAGAGAATCCAAAATCTAAGTTTAGAGGAATTATTTAGCAGTGTCTTATAGGATACATTGTCTATTGTTCCTTTATGGATTATAATTCTGAATAACATAGCCCTAGGATTTGAACTCAAGAACCTGTATGCTATCCTTTAGCTGTTTTGCCTAAGGCTTGCACTCTAACATTGGAGACACCTCTCCACTTCAGGCTTTTCAGTGGTTAATTAGAGATTAGAGTCTCATGACTTGTCGTACCCTAGATGGCTTTGAACCTCCATCTTCAGATCTCAGCCTCCTGAGTAACCAAGAATACAAGTATGAGCCACCAGTGTTCAGCTAGTCCTAGTGTTTTAAGCTAACAAGGTCTACTCAATATATTTACTCAATATATAAAAGTAGTACCTCAGATATCCTAAAGTATTTCAAATACATTCAAAGTATCCCTTTAAAGAAAATCATTCTCTCTCTCTCTCTCTCTCTCTCTCTCTCTCTCTCTCTCTCTCTCTCTCTCTCTCTTTCTCTCTCTCTCTCCCTCTCTCTCTGCCTTTCTGTCTCCAGGGCAAATCTGTGATAATTGTGATAACTATTAATTTATTTTATGAAAAGATATTAAGTTCAGACAAATAGATTTAAAAGGGCAGTCCAAACAACCCAAATTCTCTTCATTCTACTTTTCCCTCAGTTTATCCTCAAACTTTAGATCAATTCAAATAAACTTGTAGAGCACAACATATTCTATCACCCACCAAGATGGCATCCCTGATGAAGAAAATGGGGGTGTTATTTCCAACAAGATCCCAGTTTCCATCCTCTGTATAAAACTTCACTGCAAAGCCACGAGGGTCACGAACTGTGTCAGCTGAGCCAGACTCTCCAGCTGGAAGATTCAAGCAGGAACATGAAGCACAAGCCACTGGACTTTGCATCCAAGAATCAAAGTCATTCATTATAACTATCCAGTCCAATCTATTTTATAGAAGTAAATTAGGTATTTAAATGCCTAGGGCAACTTTTCCACAAGCAACCAGCTAATTTTGGTCTTTACATCAAACAAAATAACTAATTTAGAGTAATAACAGGGCATATCTCACAACTGTTAAAAAGATTATCTATTGGACATAAAATAACTTGGTAACATTATCTTATCATTAAAATAGGGAAGAGAATAATTATAAGATTAAGGCAGTGAATTATCTTGAAAGCAAATTGTCAAAACTGTGAAGGTAATATTAAGAAAATTAGTTAAAATACAGGTTCATTCTTATCTTATGTGTATTTGTTTATTTGTTTATTTATTTTTACATCAGTGTGGGGCTGGAATGCAGGAGCCGGGTGCTAGCCCTCAGCTTTTTCACTCAAGGCTGTGCTCTATCACTTAAGCCATACTTCCACTTCTGGCTTTTTTGCCCAGGGCTGACTTTGCACCACAGTCCTCAGATCTCAGCCTCCTGAGTAGCTAGGATTTTAAGCATGAGCCACTGGTGCCTGGCTAATCTCATTTATTTTTACATTCCACAGTACTTTTTAATGCACAGAACCTGACACAGAAACCTAATTACTCAGAAACTGTGACATGTTGAGCTATAGTATGATAGATTCAAAAACTTACTAGCTCTGTAACATGAGAGAAATCACGTAAGCCTTCTGAGATGCAATGATCCCAGCTAGCAAAGTAGACATAAATGTTTTACATATGTATTTATATACGTATTTATATATAAATATATATGTACAATTTCCGAGTAAAAGCAACTGTTACATGGTGATTGAATACTATATCTCCACTCCATGCTCCCCTTTAAGGCAACCACTTCTGGAAAGTTCTTGTAAATGTCACCGAATTGCAGGATTAGCCTCTGCTTAAGGGTGATTTCCTAAAACTTTAACAAACAGAAGCAATTTCTTCTCCATCTCCAAATATTTTTTCCTACCTGCTAAAATTTGGAGTTCTTATTTCCCGTTTCCTACAAAGTTATTCTTGAAACTAAGTTACAAATGCCCAAAATAAAGCACAGAGTGAGTTCAGCAGCACCATTTATGTAAACCAACCTACTTACCAACAGTTGAGAATCGGACGGCAATGGGAGTCCTCTTCCCAATATGCTCAAACACCTTGGCCTTGCAGTATCTGGTGATGTCATGTGTGACCTCAAAGTAGCCAAAAGCACCTGATGAGAAAAACAGAGAAACTCTCACTATGAGACTATTACTCAGGCCATCAGGCCCTCAACAGACATTTGGTAACAGGACTGATGGATTAGTACTAGCCTCTGGGAACATCTAATATGACGAAAGACATACAAACACAAAAGCAAAATGCAAAGTTCAACCATTATTTTGTGCTCAAAAAGAGCAGCACACATGGACTGCTTCAGTCTGCCAGATTTCTGAGTGATGACAGTCTGCCTGGTTCCAGTTTTCTCTGGCGAAAAACAAAACAAAACAAAAGAGTACCACAACTCTTGACCTGAGGACATAGATATCGGAGGGACTTGAAGTACAGGGAGGGACTGGGAGAGAAGAAAACAGAGAGGAAAGAAGAAAATATAGGCAAAGAAGAAGAAGAAGCGAACACTTTACCAAACCACACCATGAACAGTATCTCAAGTCATGATGGAAGACACACAGGAAGGTTGGGAAGAATAAAATTCATCATCTAGGGAGAAAATTAGAAAGTCCAAGGCACACTAAAAAAATTAAATTAAATAAAAACACTTTTTCTTCCTTTTGACAAAGCTTTTTCCTATTTAATTTTTAGCTTTCTTCTTTCTTTCCCTTTTATTTTTCATGTGTGTGTATATGATAGTATATAAGTACAGACTAAGAAAAACACTTTTTCTTCCTTTTATCAAAACTTTTTCGTATTTTTTAGCTTTCTTTCTTCCTTTCTTTCATTTGTGTGTGCATCTGTGTGTGTGTGTGTGTGTGTGTGTGTGTGTGATGGTGTGTGCATGTATGACAGTTCTAGGGCTTGACCTCAGGGCCTGGTACTATTCCTTAGCTTTTTAGCTCAAGGCTGACACTCTACTACTTGAGCCACAATTCCACTTCCAACTTTTTGCTGGTTAGTTGAGGAGTCTCACTGACTTTCCTGCCAAGACTGGCTTTCAACAAGGATCCTCACATCTCAGCTTCCTGAGTAGCTAGGATCATATCATTTCCCAGCTATGAATTTTTAGATTTCTTTTAAATACTATTCTTGTCTTCTGTCTCCATCCTAGACTCATGATCAGCTTTTAGACTAGACGAGAAGGAAAAAGTCACCACAAACCCACAAGTGTAACCCAACTATGCTCCAATTTTCCCTCATTTAAATCCAGTTGTAATTACAGCCTATGTATCTTTATCTTTGTTTGTACTTTTATATGATAGAAGAAATGGAAGGTTACTGGGATCTTCTTTTTTTTTTTTTTGGTCTGTCGTGGGGCTTGAACTCTGGGCCTGGGTGCTGACCCTGAGCTCTTCAGCTCAAGGCTAGCACCCTACCACTTGAGCCACAGTGCCACTTTTGGTTTTCTGGTGGTTAATTGGAGATAAGAGTCTCACAGACTTTCCTGCCCGGGCTGGCTTTGAACTGTGATCCTCAGATCTCAGCTTCCTGAGTAGCTAGGATTACAGATGTGAGCCACCAGCACCCAGCTTTTTTTCTTTCTTTCTTTCTTTTTTTTTTTTTTTTTAAGAGGAGGAGAAGGAGATGCTGGGAATCAAACCCAGGATCTTGCACCTACTCAGCAAGCATTCTATCAATGACCTAAGTCCCCCTCTTGTGCAGCTCAGGATAGCCTCAACTCTCAATCACCCTGCTTTTGCCTCCTGATCACTAGAATTGCAGGTATGCACCTCCATGCCTGGCTGAAAGGTAGGTGTGTGTGTGTGTGTGTGTGTGTGTGTGTCTCTGTGTGTGTGTGTGTGTGTGTGTGTGTGTGTGTGTGTGTGTGTGTGTATCAAACCCAGAAAAATCCTTGTCATTTAGTTTTTTTTATTCCTCTATCTATTCCTTTTTCCCAAGAATGGAGATTTAGCACTTCCACTATATATCATATAATCCTTTCGGAAATAGTTTTAGCCCAAATGTTCTGACAACATTCTTTTGTGATTGAAGGACAAAGCTCTCACCTGCTCCTTTGGCATGCACGACTCTCTCAGGAATTCTCTCTCTATCGAAATGTGCCATTTCATCAGTGAAAATCACATCCTGAACCAGAAGAGGCCCTCGAGGCCCTGCAGTCATAATATTAAGTTTGTCTCCAATTGGATTGCCACTTCCAGTGGTCAGGACTTCGGGTTTCTACAGTAACACACAAGGAAGAGTGTGCAGGACCGTCAGTACAACCCAGAATTAACTTACATCATCACAGAGCGCATCTCTATGTAATTGTTACATCTTCTTTCTAACTCTCTTAATTTCCTGTGCTCCAAGTACTGAAACCTATAAAACATGCTCTCAGAAGTGCTTGACAAATGTCAACAGGAACCTGCTAAGACATGTAGTCTAGGAGCAAAGAGATGGCATAATTGCCTTCTGCCTAGCACAATGCCTACTCTAAAGGGTCACATGAACCCCTGGACAGATAGCACTCCCAAAAGGGCCATATGCACTTAGCACTGAAGGTCTGAACTAACAGTGAGAAGACAAATCACCAGCGCTTTGCTGGCAGAGACTTCACTCTGCATTTACATGGACATTGTCACACCGCACACGTCTAGGCCCTGTGCATTTATTGCTCTCAAGCATGGACCTGCTATTTGAAGGTTCTCTTTTCAATGAAAGCAAAAGCCAATGGCTTTCATTATCACTACTTATGACTTGTTTCTGGAAAATGGATTATAGCATTTATGTTCTAAAATGTCTCTGAGATGAGACATTTTATTTTACTAATAAAGACTTCGTTTTCAATTCCCCAGTTTCCATTTTCAGTTACCCCTTGGGTCAATATATAACTTCCCTTCTCCATCCATATTTGGCCCACATATTAGCACAAAGTTAATGCTTGCCTCTCCTCTAGAAGATGATAGAATAAGGAACAGATATTTAAAAAACTATAAACTCCTCAGCTAGAAGATGTAGCTCAGTGGCAGAATGCCCTTGAAGCATGAAAGAGGCTCTATGTTCTTTATCTAGCACACTGTAACAACAACAACAACAAAATTATAAAAGTCCAAGACAATGAATAAAAAAAATCTTAGAATAAATCCTCCTTGCCCAGTAAAGGTATTTTCATATCAAAGTGGGAAGAGGCCAGAGTTGGGTGTGGTGATACAGGCCAGTAATCCCAGAAGCTCAGCAGAGAGAGGTAGGAGGATTATAGTCTGATGCAAACTCCAGGAAAAAGAGTGAGACCCTATCTCTAGGCAAAAGGACTAGGAGATATGGCTCAAATGGCGGAGCACCTGCATAGTGAGCAGGAGACTCTGAGTTCAATTCCCATCATCCAAAGTTGGGGGTGGGGGAGAGAGGGGCACTATCAGGGTAGAGGCCAACCAGAACCAAGGAGAAACCGTAAGTGCTGGGATCAAATACTAGATTCAAGTTCCAGCTCTGCCCACCCTCCACTACGCAGTCCTCACAGGCTATTTATTTCTCAGTCTCAAATTTTCACCTTCAAAACAGACAGAACTATCCCTCAGAGTTAAGATATAAATTAGAAGAGTTTAATATAGGTAATGCAGGCCACAGGCTCAGCACACACTCGTCATCACTTTAGTGGGTATGAGAAGACAACTTGATAAAGGCGGATATTCTTAGGAGAGAATCACATAGGTTCAATAGTTATGGATATATGATCATATAAAATGATAGTTAGGGAAAAGCAAAGGAGGAGGTAACAATGCTGGATAGGAAATGTTGGGGAGGGGGTCAGAGAAAAAACTGGAAGAAAATGAGGGATGAGGTAACGCTGTTCAAAAAGAAATGTACTCATTACCTGACTTATATAACTGCAACACTTCTGTACATCACCTTTACAATAACAATATATATTTTTAAAAGTGAAAGAGATGGGAGGGAAGGGATAGTAGGGGAAAAACAAAGGAGGGGGTAGCAATGCTGGATAGGAAATGTACTCATTACCTTACTCATGTAATTGTAACCCCTCTGTACAGTATCTTTACAATAAAAAATAAAAATAAAATAAAATAAAAAAGGGAAATGGAAAAAAAAAAGCAACTTGATAGCAAAAACAGCAAAAGCACCCTGTCACCCAGATCCCTGGGCCAGTAGGGTAGCAACTTTTCCAAGTTCAAAAGTGAAAGAAGACAATTAGCACAATTACATCATTCTCCTCTGAAGATATGTATGTTGTTAATACAGGTGACTCTATATACTTTCATTTTTCCATCTCATGTAAAAAAAAAAAAAATCAGACAAATAAAGACCAAAACCACCTACATTCCCCTTTACTTCAAACCTAAAACCTGGTTTTCAACTTTCACTGTACATAGAAATCATCCAGGAGGTTTTTTAAGCTCCAGATGGTTGGATCAGCCCTATGGGAATTTCTGATATAATGCAGTTTGGGTGAAGGCCAGGATATTCTCAAGCTTCTGGGTGGTTCCAAAGTGAAGCTGGAATTGAGAATTACTGGCCTATGGGATGAGTCAAACTTCAATAAATGAAGCGGGACAAGTTGAACCTGTCTACTCTCCAGATGCTTTGTCACCACACAGAGACATCTCTCCATATATCTATTCTCATCTCTCTCTCTCTCTCTCTCTCTCTCTCTCTCTCTCTCACACACACACACACACACACACACACACACACGCATTAAAATTATAAGAGTATGAAAGCAGATACCAAGATGCTTGCAAAAATAGCTAATGAGGTTGAGGTATCATTTACACAATGGATCATCCCACAGCTCCAAGTCAGCGGTTCCCAATTCCAGTTTCACTTTGCAATATCTTGGCCTTCTTCAGACTGCTTGTAATGCAAGGAAGGAGCTGCCACTAGGAAACATATCATGTTCCCTTGTGACTGAAGGGTCAGGGTGGCATGGTCAAGAATATAACCCATGTTCAAAGCAGGCTGAAGCAGAGTAGGTTAAAAGAATGAATAAACAGGTAAATAAAGTACAGTATATCTGGTCGTTCCCAATGACAGCAAACATGGGATCCTAGAGTGGGAATGCTGGATGTGCCGCCATTGGTCCTCAGTCTTGTTAGAAAATGAAAACTTGTGCTTTTCAATTCAAGGGAGCACTCAGAATCTCATCACTTCCCTACCCTAAAAAGTCAATTGTCCTAAATTATAATCGCTTTCCTCATATATGCTCATGCATATGGAATTTGCCTTAAGAACAAGTATGGCAGGAAAGCTTTAGAAGTCAGCAGCACAGAAAAGACAACAGTGGATAAAGACTGGAAAGGCAAAAATGCCTTGACTCAGGAATGTTTAGGGTGGCATCAGGTAAAAGTAACTAGCCTAAACCAAAAGAAGGAGTATTCATTAGCATGTAGGAGAAAGATGGTACATTTGTTGAGATTAAAACATTGTAACAGCCAGGTGCTGGTTGTTGGCTCACACCAGTATTCCTAGCTACTCCGAAGGCTGACATCTGAAGATTATACTTCAAAACCAGCCCAGGCAGAAAAGTCTGTGAGACTGTTACCTCTAATTAACCAGCAAAAAGCTGGAAGTGGAGGTGTAGCTCAAGTGGTAGCATGCCAGCCAAGTGAGAACAAGAGATCTTGAGTTCAAGCCTCAGTACTGGTGCTTGAAGAAAGAAAAGGAAGGAAGAGAGAAGAAAGCTGGAAACGAGGAAGGGAGAAAGAGAGGGAAGGCAGGAGGGAGGGACAGAAGATAGAAGGAAGGAGAGAAAGGGAGGGATGGAGGGAGAAGAAATAATGCAACATAGGAAGCTGTTGTTCAGCCTTAGAACACTTGCCTAGTTTGTGTGAGGTCCTAGTTTCAACCCCTAGCACTGCAATAATAATAATAATAATAATATCAACAGGCAATAAAGTTTACTAAAATAAATGGGTGGGTTCTCTCACTTAAGCCCTCCAATAATCTTGTGAGATAAATATTATTAATCCCATTTAAATGGTGATGGCTATTCACTGAATATGGTAAGTACACAGAGGTTGAACTGGCTAAGAAATTCTCTTCAACTTTGATCTTTTTGTTTCTTTAATTCAGTAAAAGATCACTAGCTTTTTTTTTTTAGAAATAAAATATTTTAAAGATAGAAAAAAACTAGATCTCCTTAAGAGCTCTCTCCAGAAAAGTAGCATCTGTACGTTACCAGGCTGACCTGTTGACATCTTTCTGGCTACTAGTTGTGCCTGATGCCCACTCAGGCTCATCTGAACCATGCCCTACTCTGTCTCAGGAGAGCAAGTGCTCAGCATAAAGCCCACTTCATTGGCAAGGTTCACACCAGCTGCTCAGGTCTTTCTGGGGATCAGTGTAGACCTGCAACGGTCATCTTCCTCACAGAGACAATCGGGAAACTGAGATGTTTTTAGGTGTGACAGTGGTATTATGAAGTATTTCTCATCCTTTGGTGATACACAAGGTTAGCATGAGGCGATACCCTATCTTGAATCTGCTTCAGAAAAATGGAAGGAGAATGTGAGACAGGAAAAAAACAAGATTGTTACTGAGGCTGAGGGACAGGCACTTAGAAGTGCTAGCCTTTTTCCTTCAATACTGGATTGGCATTTTCCATAATAAAGAGTTTTTGTAATGAACAGGCAAAGGAAAAAGTTTAATTGGAGAAGTATGAGAATGATTGAAGCAAGGGAGAGAAAATAATGCAATGTTTCAACAATGCTAATAATACCTACATATGAAATCAACCAGGCTCTATTCTACTATTCTTACACGAACATGTTTCATCAAGAGTAAGAGTTTAGCACTATACAAAACAGGTATTAGTCAACTGTGGAGGTAAGATCAATGCTAGGTCCTGTCCAGAGAGCTTATCAGCAGATAATGGGATAGATCATAGCTTCCGTGTTAGCCATGTAATTCCCAATTCTGGATCATTTGGTGTGCCTCTTTCTTTTTCTCTCTTCTGCTCTCTTTCTTCCTTCCTTCCTTTCTTTCTTTTTTGCTTTCTTCTTCTATCTTAACACATTCTACAGAGAATGCAATAGAGGGTTTCTCAAATACAAAATAAATAAATGAATTCCACAAGCTGAGACTTTGCTTTGATTCTCTTCAAGATTGAGAGTTAGGTTTGGGTGTGGTGGTAAATGCCTGTAATCACAGCACTCAATTGTCTCAGGCAAAAGGATTGTAAAGTGTGAGGACAACTTGGACATTTCTTTAAAAAAAAAAAA